AAAGTATGGGGCAAAAACACAGGCGGGTTTTTATCTTTTTTCGTTTTTTTTTTTTTTTTTACTGTCTAAACAAAACATTAAATTAAATTAAATTAAATTAAATTAAATTAAATTAAATTAAATTAAATTAAATTAAATTAAATTAAATTAAATTAAAAAATCATATTTAATAAATTCATGCTTGAAAATGGTTCCATTTATAATCAGCTGTAACTGTCACTTCCTGTTTGTATTTCTTTTTTCCACCTGTGCTGTGAATATGATGGTGTGTGTCACACACACACACACACACACACAGAAACCCACCGCAGCACCGACAGGGACACATTCCTCAGCGTTAAACTTTTATTAATCAAGTCTGTTGACAAGTGAAGAAGAAGAAAAATCCATTTTTGTTTCTTCCTCCATTTATTACGACATAAATTGTCCTTCGACGCCAGAACCTTCGAACCTCAGGATAATTAGGCTGAAAACCGTTCTATTTGCCCGGATTTCATACTGGGTTTTGTTGCCACACACATGTGTGTGTGACGTGTGTGTGTGTGTGTGTCAACATCTCACCTCCAAAAATAAAAAAAACAAAAAAAAGAAAATAAAAAATTCTATCTGATCAGAAACACAGACAAAAACTGAGGTTAATATTCAACACAGGTGAAACAGAGTTGACTACACACACACACACACACACACGTACATGTACACAATCTCTCACTGATGCAGCCACAAACACGTTGTATGTAACGCCCCTCGTGTGGTTGCCAGGTCTGTGTATTCTAAGAGAATTGACACAGTGTTTTTGTTTGTGTTAGAGTAGATTTCTATAGTGTTTTTTTTTTTTTCAGTTTGTTGTGAAAGTGACGCTTGTCATTTATTCTTCACTCCTTTGAGTCTGAATCAAAAAGCCTGTTTGGTTTGACAGGTCTGTCAACAACAGTCAGTCAGTCTTAGATCAAATCGATCGGTCGACTGATCGATTTATCGTGTTAAAGACTTCACGTGGTGGACGATCCCAAAAGTCTTTTTTCAGAAATTGTGAAAGAGCAGAATTCATCTTAGTCATATTCTCACGGCAGCGTTTATGTGAAAATAAAACAACTTTAACCCTTTACTGTACGGCTGTGAATTAGCAAGAATCTGGCGATACGATACCTATCACGACACGAGATATTGTGATATATTGCGATACTATACTCACTGTGATATATGGAGTTTGTTTCCCCCCAGTGTAGCTGTAGTCCCAGTGTGATCCTAGTCTGAGACTCTGTTCCATCTGAACATCAGTTCCTAACACTGGAACAGAGGGATCTACATTTGGAATCACTAGAGAAGAAAGAAAAGAAAAAGAACATGAACCAACACCAGGAATATTGGACTGGGAGTTGGAGAGGAGATTGATACGGTATCGCAAAACCATATATCGCGATATTTCAATGTATTAATACACCCCTACTCTGCGGAATCATTTCTGCTTATTTCCGTTGCATGACCTGGCAACAAAGTTCACTTCCTGCAGGCTCGGAGGTGAGGTGAACGCCACAGGACACACACACAAATACATATATATATATATATATTTG